TCTGACTGATCCTCCTGCTCCCTCTCATAAGGACTCTCGTGGTGACATTGGGCCGCCTGGATAATCCAGGACAACCTCCCCCTCCCAAGATGCTTAACTTAGTCCCACCTGCAGAATCCCTTTTGCCTTAAGGTGACATATTCTCAGGTTCTGGGGATTAGGACGTGGGCGTCTCTGAAGGGCTGTGATTCTGTCTCCCACAGACAGGCGTTGACTCTTGGACACAACAATGGATCTTGTCCCTGAAGCTGAGAATTTTACACTCTTGTCAACACACAGAACCATGGCTTACATTTCACCTTTTATGAGCTAATAAAGAGTAGTTTTGGTAATTCAATCACATTCCCAAAGTTTATATGGATTTGGGACTGGGGGGCTGCTGTTCAACACTGCACGTGTGCTCCTGCATAATTACTGAATGATGCTAAAGTCCCTCTTTCCTCTCCATTTCTGCCTTGGTTGCAGTCACATGAATTTTCGTGTAGACCATAGCAGCAGCCTCTTAACTGGCCTCCCGGCCTCTACTCCCACCTGCTCCAGGTCACCCTCCATACTGCTGTCAGGTGGATGCTTTAGTGTGGACATCTGACCACAGCCATCAGTTCTCTATCTAAAACCCTCTATGGCTTCCTATTGCCCTCAGAAGAAAGTCCCAACAACCCCCTACCATGGCTATAAGGCCTTCTGTGAAGGGCCCTTGCTCACTCTCCAGCCAGATCATATGCTCCTCTCTGCTAGGGTGACCCACCATCCCAGTGTGCCCGGGACTGTCCCAGTTTTAGTGCTGAAACTCCCATGTCTTAGAAAACTACTCAGTACAAGGACTGTTGGTCACCTATCCCGGCCCCACGCTTTATGCTCTAGCGACACCAGCTGCTTGCAGATTCTTCCAAGTCATCGCTGTGACTTTGCTCTGTTCTTCCCTCAGCCGGGAAAGAGACCCCTTATGTTACCCCCCAGGGCATCAGTTAGGAGCATCCTGAGCTGCAAGTGACTGACAACATGACTACAGTGGTTAAAACAAATGCAGTCTCATTTTTTTCACAAAATGAGACATTCAGAGAATGGCTGCTGGCGTCGGATCTGCAGCCTCTGGATGTGGGAGCCCATATCTCTGCAATTCTCTTGGCCACAAGATGGCTGCCTCAGCTCCGGGCATCATGTCCATATTCATGTTCATCACAGGGCAGTAGAGCATGGTGGTCAAGAGCGTGGGTTCTAGAGCCAGATCTAGACTGGATCCCAGCTCCATGACCCCCTAGTTAAGTCACCTTGGGAAGTCAGCAACCATCTCTAGCCTCAGTTTTCTCATCTCTAAAATGGGGATGATGTTAATAACAATATACCTCATAGCATTGGTTTGGAGGTTAAGTGAGGAAATACATGTAAAACCTGTAGAACAGCGCCTGGCACATAGTAAGCACTCAAGAAATGTTTGCTTTTATTTCATTATTATCACTGCAGGGACCTGAGGACGGCAAGTGTTTAGCATTTATAACCTCCAATCCGGAGACAGGCACAGAGGGAGGAGGCTGGGAACGAAGTTGGGGTCAAGCAACCAGCAGGGCCTTCTGTACCTTCTATTCCAACTTTAAGGCATCACCACATCCAAAAAGCCATCCTGGACTCCTGCCAACTGACACTGGTTTCGGTGCCCCCTTTCTGTGCTCCTTGTCTGTGCTCCTATCTTCACACGTACACCAGGGAACTCAAGGATCTGCCCATTGGTCCGGCTCCTGGAGAGGGGGGGTCTTGTCTGAACTGTCCCCGGATGCCCAGGACTGAGCTGGTGCCGGGCTGCTTGTAGGCCCCATTGCTTGTTGAGTAAATAGTCTTTACTAAGAATCGCCTTGGCATAGTAAGGTGTGGGATGAACGCCACGGTCCCCTCTCCAGGAGCCAAAGTCTAATGGGGAAACAGGGCAACTCGTGGACCAACCATGGGCAGCTCAGCCGAGGGCTCTCCTAGGAGGAGTCCAGAGGTTGGGCTGGGGTCCCTCCCTCCATAGATCAGCACATTCTCAGGAGCACCAGGGTCAGGGGTCAGGGTCCCCACTTGGACTGTCCCTCACTGCTCACTGGTCATTCTCTTTTTGATCCCACTTGCACTCAGTCGGCCTCGGGAGGGCTCTACCTTCCCTGAGCCTCCGTGGCTCCTGCATTACTGGCCGTCTGTTCCCATCAGCTGGCCCAGCTCTTTCCTGTCTCTGGGCCTCAGTTTCCCTGCCTGTCTAACACACTGAAAGCTTTTCCAGCTCTGACCTGCTGTGACTATGTGTGGAAACCATTGTTTTCCTCAAACCTGTACCTCTGGGGGCTGGGCTGGGTCACCCCCTCCTCCTGGCCTGTCACTGCGCCCAGCACAGGGCTGGCATGAAGTCAGGGCCCATTAAACACTTCCTGACTCCAAGGGTCCAGGCTGACAGCAGCCGTGGGGTCTGCCTCGGGCTGGGGGGCCCACTAGGGAGCCTCTTTCTCAGGGAGCCCGTGGTTGTCCCTGAGCACAGGGCATCCTCCTGTGGCTGGCCTCTCTGGGCTGGGGACGCTGTCCTTGGGGAAACCCCATCCTCCCCTGCAGCCGGGGGCCTGAGCACCCAGCAGACTCCTGTGGAGGCAGGATCAGGAAGAGGGTGATGTGATCAGGGCCACAATGGGTCACAGTTGTGCAATGTTGGGGGCCAGTCTCTGGGGTGTCCTTAACTCTTGTGGACTCTTAGGATCCCCCTCCACTAGCCCCCCAGCAGCTCCCTCTGAGGCCTGACCAGCCTGGCTGAGGTGGCGTCTGTCTGCAGCCCTGGGGTGGAGAGGGGCAGCCCCTAGAGAGCCCGGGAACCCGCAGGGGAGGCGCGAATCAAGAATGCAGGCGGCTTGTGGGGTCTGAAGGTTTATTATGGTTGCAGGGACTTGTGGCCGTGGCTCCCAAGGATGAATCATCAGCGTTTATTCTAGAAGAGCAGAGAACAGGGTGAAGCAGTCAGCAGTGTGTGTGCCCCACTCTGGAGCAGTGTAAGGCTCTGCAGGGAGACTAGGCACAGGGGAGCATGGCAGGCGCCCCCAGACCGTGACAAGGCTCGCGCTGCCCAAGGAGTCTGAGCCCCCTTAGCATTTGAGACCACTGTGCAAATGGGGCTCAGAAGACATCCGGCCCCCAGTCTGAGAGCCGCCAAAACAGAGCAAACCTCTGTTCCCCCACCCTCATATACATAGCCGTCCCTGCTGCCCCTCTCCTCTGCTGGGCCCTGCTCTCATGGGGCCACGTGTCACTTTTGGGGGGTCAGGTGTGGAGCCTGGGATTGGGACGTAAATATTTGCTGAAGCCAGTGGATGAATGGATGGAGAAGTTAATACCATTTCCTTCGTCACACGTGACTCAAGGCCTGCGTACAGCAAGCACTCAGTACTTCTTGAGTGAGTGAGTGAACGTGTGAATAAGTACAGGAATGAACGAGTGAAGGAACCAGCAAATGCATGAGTGAGTGAGTGACTGAATGAGTGCAGGAGGGAGCGAAGGACAGGGTGAGAGAAGGGGAGGGGCTGGTGGTGCAGGAAGGGGGGCTGCGGGCGGGCACCCACCTGGTTGATCCAGTCGATGTAGGCGGACACCCAGGTGTAGACTGAGGGCTTCTTGTAGACATTGCAGCCCCGGCTGGAGCCGAAGCTGACGATGCCATGTACCTCCCGGGACCCGTCGTCAGCCGGGCAGTTCAGCGGGCCGCCCGAGTCCCCCTGCACCAGACCAAGCAGACCTCAGCCACCAGGCCTCCCCTGGAGGCAGGCTTGGGAAGCAGGGGCGGGTCAGGGTGGGGGATGTGGGTTGGGCTCTCAGTCTTGCTCCCCCCTGTTTTGGCTTCAGCCCGTCCATGGTGAGGGAGGCAAAGAGGATGTGGTTTGGGGGTGCCTTGGCCTCATTCTGGGAGGCCCTGGGGTGTCAGACTAGCTCTTGGTTTGCTGTGTGATTTTGGGATGATGATAACCCTCTCTGTGCCTGGGCTTCCCTAACTGCTCAGGTCACCATGTCTAAGACTCTGTGAGCTGCCCGGAGAGATGAGGATGCTGGAGCCCTGGGAAAGTGAGAAAGTGGGGAGTGGGGAGAGGGTCATGTGTTTGAAAACAGGACAGTTCTTGATTATTCTAGATGTTTCTTGGTTCTGTGTGCTACTCCCTAAGTCCTCAGGCTCCCGGGACCGATGGAGATGATGGCATGAGGAACATGTGTAGGGACTTCAACGAAGTCTCTTCTATGTTTGTTAGACTCATTTAGTCCACATAGCAACCCTGTGAAGTGCTTACCACATCCCCATTTTATAGACGGGAAAACAGGTTCAGAGAGGTTAAATAGCCTGTCCAAGGTTACATAGCTACTCAGTAGTGGGATTGGAACTCCATCTCAGACACTCATGCTCAACTCCCATGTTCTCACCATGGTGCTGGGGGAGGGTGACAAGTTTCTCCTGAGCCTCCTGGGCCCAGCCAGGGCTCAGTCTCCTCCCCGGGAAAGGTATGCCCATGTGGGTCTCCCCACTTCTCCCTCCTTTGCCCTCCTCACTGCCGCCTTCTGCTTGGCCACCTGGAGTAGGAACGGGGCACAGGGCCTGGACACTCACATTGCAGGATGAGATGATGCCATCACCCCCGGCGCACACCATCTGGTTTGTCACTAGGTAGCTCCACCAGTCCCACTGGGAGCACGTGGCATATTCCACTATAGGCTGCAGGCCCTCTCTGGCCGAGCGACTTCAGGCAAGACACTGTGGGGGCCTCGGGGTCTTTATTCCCTCCGTCCCGAATCTTCTGGGACCCTTGGCCAATGAAGGTGATGGGAGGGGTGTCCATCTTCACTTAGCATTTTCCCAGTTTGCCTAAAGGAGTCACCTGCTGGCTGCTCAGGGCGAGGATGGGGTCCAGGGACAGGGTGGGGGCAGGCTCTGCAGCTCCGGCTCAGGGACCCTCCTTCGTCTGTGCTGTCCCCACGGGCCACAAGACGGTCAGTTGACCACTCACCACAACCCGGAGGAGCTGAATTGCCTGTGGACAGAGATGCTGTGCATACCCACAAACAGGGAGCCTTCCTCATCCTCCAACGACACATTGTGCTTCCCCAGGCCCACGCGGTAGGTCAGGGTTTTGCTGAAGAGGAAAGGGACTGGGTCAGGGTGGCCTCCTGCCCCTGCCGCCAGCCAGTCGGGTAGAGAGGGAATCGGGCCTTTGGTGACGCAGCCCGGAGACCACGGTGGGAATCATGTAGGGGAAGGAGTCTCCATCCCCCTGACTCTTCCCAGTGCTCGGGGTGAGGTCCTTGGTCCTGGAGTCAAGTCCGCTTGGGCTCCGAGGTGGGGAGCCTCGGGCCTCAGTTCCCTCCTCTGTGAGGTGGAGAGAATGTCGAGCTCCCCTCCCAGGGCTGCCGTGAGGATGAGCTAGTCCAGCCACAGCTGCCTCTTCCTGCGTTCCTCTCTGAGTCACCTCCTCTCCCCTCACAATCCGCTCCTGCCTCACGGGCTTCCTCGTTATTTCTCACACATCCCAAGAGGCTCCCTCCTCCAGGACTTTGCACTGGCTGTTCCCTCCACCCACAGCACCCTTCCCCAAATCGACGATTTCTTCCCTCACTTCCTTCAGGTGCTTCTCAAATATCTCCCTTTCAGAGAGAGCTTCCCCCGGCCGCCTCATTCAAAATAGAACCCCTTGTACTTTTTATCCTCTGCCTGCCTCATTTTTCTTCATTGCCACTTGATACATTACATGTTGACTTGTTTAATGGTCTGCTGCTCTGTCTTCCACTAGAATATCAGCTCCCGAGAGCACAGATTCTGTCTTCACTGCTGTGTTCCCTGGCACATAGTAGGTGCACAATGAGTACTTGTTGAATGAAGAAATGAACGACTAGGTTACTGGTTACAAGTAGCCTGTTTGCCCAGGGCCTGGAGTGTGTCGTGGGCGCTCAGTACAAACAGCTCGTGAGGCTCCCGCGCCAGGGCGATGGACGGTGGGCTCTCTGGGCGTCATCTCTACTCACTCGATGCAGTGGGCAGCTGTGAGGACGTGTCTGCTGCTGATCAAGGTGCCACCGCAGGTGTGCCACCACCCGCCAGTATAGCGGTACTGGAGGGAGACCTGGAGGAGGGCGTGGGAGGGCCACGTGTCAGCCCCCAGGGACCCTCACCCCTCCACCCTGTTCACCCCACCTCCCACAGAGCACCCACAGTGCTCTGCTCACCTGCCAGGGCCAGCTGTGGGGCGTGGCGGTCTCTCCTCCCACCACCCGGGCTGATAGGTTGGGCGAGTAGCTGGGGACCCCGTCAGAGTCCTCGCAGGAGGCTGGCGAGACAGGAGAGACAGAGCACAGGTGAGCGGGGCTGGCATCCCCACTGGGGAAGGGGCAGGAGGAAAGAGCACAGACTTTGGGGCTGGGCAGACATGGGTCCAGATTTTCCTGTGTGACTTTGGGGAAGCCATCTAGCTCTCCGGGCCTCAGCTTCCCTTTCAGCAAAACGGCAAGAACAGCACGAACCTGGTGGTGTGTCCTGAGAACTAAATTCGACAACGCACATAAGGAGTTTAGCAAAAGGCCTGGTACAGCGGGAATGCTTCCTACATTGAAGGAAAGAAAAGGGTGGCTGGTATGGGTGTGAGTGCCCGGGTACACCCGTGCCCTTCATTCCTACCCTGCTGTCCCCTTTTAGGCCACAGCATAAGGGGTGTGTGAGCCCTGAACCCAGAGTTCCAGGCTGTCATAACTGGGAGCCGTGCGGGCGGTCAAAAGCGTGTGCCCCGCAGTGAGACAGACCCAGACTCGAATTCTGCCTCTAACCAGCCTTGTGATCTTGGCAAGATTCTGGGCCTCGCTGAGTGTGGTGTCCTCATCTGCAAGGTGGAGATATTAACAGACCCTGCCTCTCAAGTTGTTGTGAGGATCAAATTAGCTCCTGCATATAAAGGGCTCAGCGCAGTGCTTGGCATATAGTAAACACACAATAAGCAGGAGCTGCTATTATTACTGTTGTTGTTGTTAGCTAGGATGAATCTTAATTAAGTGCTCTCATTTGCCAAAGGAGCCAAGGAGATTTAGAGAGGTGAAGCGGCTTGTCCAGGTCCTACCGAGAGTGAGTGACATTGAAGCCAAGTTCCTTGATTTCTATTCTGGGAGAAGGCCGCCAAAATGGGGGAGCAAAGAGTCCCCAAAGGAGAGATGCTGCCATGGGGACAGGTAGGCCCCGACGGTCCCTGGAGTGAGCCTAGGATGAGGCACCTCCTGTGTCCCTGGGCCCACGCTCGGTGGTTTCCACCCTCACATCTATCCTGGGGAGGCAGATCATCAGCTCTATTTTGCAGACACGGAAGCAGAGCTGGCAAGTGGCTCATCTGACACACAGCTGGTCAGCAGTGTCTGAACCCACATGGGACCCCAAAGCTCCTTTCTGGAGCCCTGGAGAGCAGAGGGCCCTGCTCCTCTCCTTGTCCCCGGAGGCCAGCTGGGCTCACAGCCCCCTGACTGCGGCTGGTCCCCGACCCTCAGCTTACCACAGGCCAGGAGCACAGCGAGGGTGGTGATGCCCAACATGTCGTGAGCGCTCAGGACCCAGTGGCTGTCGAGGCGGGCGGGGCGCACTTATAGGCAGGAGAGGGGTGGACCCACCTGGTCACGGCTGAGCCCCCCCATGGAGAAACCTGCTCTGACAAGGCCCTTTCCCTGACCTTGGGTGATTACTGTTTAATTGGGGCAGGAAGCTGGGCTGGCTCAGGAGCACGGGTTGCCCAAACATCCTGAGACGGAGCGAATCCTGAGGTTGGCAGGTTTGGGGACCCCACGCCCTACTGGGAGCCTTGCTCATTCTTTGTCTTAGGAGTAGAAAGAATAGACATTCTATCTGCTCATGAATAGTGAGGAAGCCGAGACTCAGAGGGTCGGTGACCGTCCAGGGTCACACAGCAGGGCAACCACAGAACGAGGATTTGAAGTCAGTGCCTCTCACACCGGTCTGGGGCTTCACACTGCTGCCACACAGCCGTCCTCCTCTGTCCGCATAGCTCTCTGTTGCTTTCTGTCTTTTTCTTTCTCCCTCATCAACTCATATTGTCTGGTCCTGCTCTCCAGCACCTCCTGCCCAGGCTGTGGAAGGAGGCTAAGGCCCAGGCAGCCCCTGGAAGATGCTGGGTTGGCCAAATTCCTACCTAGAGCAGCTCAGTTGTCTCCCCACCAGGCCCCCCTGTCTCCCGTCTCTAAAATGGGCGGACAGGCCCAGATGGACTCTAGGCTCCTTCAGTCCTGAGGTTCCATGACTTGAATGTCAAGGTTGAGTGGCAGACATCTGTTTGTGACACTTGGCGTGGGTCCAAAACACCGTGTGCCCAGAAGTTCTACAAGAGCCCTGGCAGTTTGGGGTCAGCGTGTCCCCTGAGCGTTGCTTAACCCACTTGCCCCCAGGCCTGCCTTCAGCCTGGTTGGGTAGACCCTGCTCTTCCTCCCCCTCCTACGCATCCGCGTGTTCCTGGAAGTTGTTTCCTGAGCTGGGCCCACTGGTCACCTTAGGACTCATCTCCCAGGAAGGAAACTCAGACCGCTACGCCCCCTGCTGTGAATGTGGTTATTTGGGGGAGAAGGAGGAGTCTCACTTACATATTTTATTCAGCTTAAATTCCTTTTTAAAGCGAGCACGTGTTACTTTGGTAATATAAAAATCAATCAAGTTCTATTAAAAAACAACAGCAGAGAGACGGGGAATGTGAGGCAGTGTGAGGGGGCGTGTAGGCGTCTGTCCTGCCATCATGACCTCAGGCCTCAGAGCTGGGGTGTCTGGGGGACCTCAGGCTGCGGGAACTTTCTGTTGCATTCTAGAGGCTGGTCCCGACAGAGGGGTCAGTGGCTACTGCCTGATACGCCTCAGACCCAGAGCTGTAGGTGTTCAACCTCAGCAAAGGGTCACCCTGGCCTGGGGACTGCCCTCGTAAACAGAGATGTGGACTGAGCTGGGTGACAGGTCCCGGGGGCTGGCAGGTTTTGGGGTCAGGAGACAAGACTCTGGTTTCTGTCTCAGTCAGTGACCTGCTGGACAACCTCACGCAACCTCTTTGGGCCTCAGTTTCTCCTGAACAACTTGGGAAAGTGATTAACTGGGCTTCTATATGTGGGAATTTGCCGATTTACACGCAGACAGATACAGCAACGTCTGCGCGCCCATCTCAGTTGGTGTACATGCCCATAGATACACGAGCACACAGGGACAGGCAGACAGACAGACAGACATGTGCACAACAGTGTCGTACATATAAAGCATTCGGTTATACATAGATACATGCAGAGCCACGTGCCACTCATTCATACATGTGCCCAAACATGAAAATGGCCTCAAATACACAGGTGCACAGATACTGAGGTGCCAGATAGAGTCATTAATTTTATTGGTTTTCTTTTTAATGTTTACAAAGAAACTGACGTTTTTTGGGAGGGGGGTTGCTGGCTGCTCTGGAAAGTGCAGACAGTGTGAGCTGTGGGGGAACTTCCTTGTCTGAGACATTTACCAGGTGGGGCCCTTATGTAAGGCAGCACTGACTATTGTACTTGGAGAAAAATGAGGTCACTTTAATCTACTTCAGATGCTGAAAACGGGATGCTGAGTGCTCTGCCTGGCGTTGGACCAGACTCCTGAAGGACGGAAACCCAGAGCGATTGCTTCCTAGCTGTGTGACATGTCCTAGTGACTCAACCTCTCTGTGTTTCCACACCCTCCTCTATAAAATTGGGGTAAAAAGTATCTGCCTCTTAGGGCTATTGTGGGGAGTGCCTGGCATATGGCAAGCACTGTGTAAGTGTTGACTGTTGTTATTATTGTTCTTATGAGGAAGCTCGTGTCTGGACTGTCTCTGGGCCCTTTGGCCTTTGTGGGTCCCTTCCTCCATCGAAAAGTATTAAACATTATCTTTTATGACTACATGGGTATAAAGACTAATATAATCCAGTGTGGATTATGTTCATTATTTTTCATGCTGATTTTGAAAGACACCAAAACACTTTTGTGGGCCCTGAAGTTATTGTGAGCTCCAGGCCCTGTGTCCACTGTACTGCTGGACAATCCGGCCCTGGCTGTGCCCCTCCTCATGTCGGGTTGTGGATGACTGAGTGGCTGAGAGAGACCTGGGGGAATGTTCTGTGGGGCATTCTGAGAGCCTTCTCTGGGCCCTGCAGGTGCCCTTAGCTGTGGCCTGGGGCAGCCAAGGAGAAAACTGTGTTTTCACTGGGAGCAACTGGGCAGAGGAGGGAGCATCTCTGGGCATGTGCACGGCTGGTGCCAGCCCCTCCTGACCTGGCCCTGGTGCAGGGGGCGGCCGGTCAGAGGACGCCATCACTCCAGTGGCTCAGACTGCCTAAGTGATGGTGGGGACACATGAGTGGCTGACCTGATTTTCTGGCCATGGTGACCAAGACTGAAGAAGCAGCCCCAGCAAGGCTTGCGAATATATGCTGAGGGGAGCCCTGGGGGAGAGGACTTCCTGTGACTGGAGGGGAGGGGGCTTGGAGCTGGATTAGCTTGAGTCCTTAAAGATGTGACTCTTCCCTGTCCAGACTGTGAGGCACTGACATACTGTGTACACCGAAGCCTTTCATTCATTCATTCATTCATTCAATCCCCCCACATACTACATAAAGCACCTACTATGTGTAGGCCCTGTGCTGGGCTGAGACTACAGAGATGAGAAGACCCTACTCAGCACTGCCGGAGCTCCCTGCCAGGCAGGGTGATCAGTGTTTCTTGGAGTGTTCTAGGCCAAGGTCTGGGAGCCCTAAACAAGAAGAGGTTAGTTCTGGGTGGGAGCTTGATGGGTTGTGGGCTGGAAAAGGATTCCTTCTCTACAGGCTCCATGTCCAAAACAAACTCGAGGACTTCCCAGCATGAGGATGCTAGAAGCCCCACCCCCATCCCACTGAGCGTCGTGTTTTCCAGGGCCTGGAGTGGGGCCTCCCAGAACTGGGACCTCAGTGTCCCTCAGCCACTCAGGGCCAGACTGTGCTGTAAACATAACCATGAGTGACTTGGTGGAGGCTGGGCTGAGGGGAGGGGGAACTCAGGAGAACAATGTCAAGGTGAGGAGTGGGGGTGATGAGAGCCTGAGAAACAGGGCAGGTGCACGGACTTGGCCCATAGTTTAGTCACGGGGACGGGACTCTCGGGTGGCAGCTGTTACATCCTGGGTGAGGCACACTGAGGGGTCGGCCTGGGGGTTGGCAGGGTTTCTCCTCAAAACCAGGTGGAAGTACTGGGGGTTCACCGAGTGGGTTCAGTGGGGCTGAGTGAGGGGGTTGGTGTTTGGTTACAGGGGCTTGGACTCAGTGGAGGGACAGCTTACTGAGAGGGCGGGACCTGGGAAGGGTTTTAAGGAGCTGTCTCCCTCTCTCACTCTTGGCCCCTAAATCACTTCAGGCCTCTTCATTCTTCAGCCTGCCCCTTCTGCCCCGGCTGGGAGTGGGGGGGTCTTGCACAGACCAGGGCCGAGAGCCCCCTCCCCACTGAGACCTGTTGGTGGAGGGCCCTGGCGTGGGACAGCGGCCAGTCTCTCACATTCTGAAGGCTCAAGGTCTGTATTCACTGCTGGGCCAGCTGGGCGGGGGCTCTGGAGCCTGACTCTTAGCCCTTTTCTGTCACCAACCTCTGTCCCTGGGGTCTGAGACCCTTATGCACTAGAATATTGGTTCTGATGTTCTTCCCTTGGGGCAGGAGTGTTGAAAGGTGATGCCTAATCTAACATGCCATGTTAGTGATGGTGGCATCTCAGGCATTGGGTAGCAAGTGTCGGTGGCATTCCTCAGGAAAAACACGTCAAGGACACAGCCCTCCCTGTGAGGAAGCCAGAGGCAGAGGGCACCCTGGCTGCTGTGGTACCAGCCACGCCCACCTGGCGGCAGCAATGCCCTGCCTAATCCCAATTCCCACCCGCACCCGACTCAGGTTGCACCTGGGAGAGGGGGGGCCCTACCTGGAAACAACAGACCCAGTTAGAGCCTCATCTGTCCAAAGCCACACAGGGAGCACCCTGCTTTTTCCTTGTCACCCCACCTCACCAGCCTGTGTGTGTGGTGGGCGAGGCTAGGGGTGTCTCTGTGTGTGGGAGAGAGTCTGGGGGAGTCTAGGGTGCATCAGTCTAGAATCCCGATGGCCTTGGTACCACTCCCAGTGTGTGCCATCCTCTGAACTCACCAGGCCTGATGGCTGCATGACTGGGGGCTCAGGCGGAGGCTGAGCGGCCTGGGCCCGCACCCTGCCACCCTGCATGCTTGTGTGCCTCTGGAGGACTCTCTGGCTCTCCCTGTTCTTGTCTGGGAATAAAACAGCCCCTCCTCATGGGCGGGTTGTGATGATTAAATGAGTTAACATGTGCAAAGGGCTTAGCCTGGCACCTGGTGATAGCGGGTGGGCATGAAATTCAACTCTCTCATTAGGAAGGGTCCCCTCTTCCCCCTGGTGTCTGACATGAACGGGACCCACCTGAGCAAATGCTGCCCCAGCATCCAGATTACCTCGTCCCTGTCCCCTCCTTTTCCCATCCCTCCCTACCCCCCCCAACAAA